GATACAAAACCAGATATGAATTTGATTTTCTTGCGAATTTTAACGGTCTTAACTTTCCATGATGAATTTCGATTTTTATTTCTTAGCTCGAAAAACGATACAACGAATTACGTGGAAATGTTACAAACATATTTTCAATGAATTGATTACATGAACAATTTCATTTGAACACACAAAGTATTCAAAATACTGATTTCCTTATGAACCCGAGAAATATGATAGATATTAGTCGAATAATCAAATCCATTATTTAACACATGAATATATTGCGTAGGGGAAAACCGGCGGCGTGCAAAGGAAATTTGCCGCCCGAAGCAAATTGCCGCCCCAACATCAAAATTTGAAGAGCAAAGAAGAGGTCATCACTTTTAAAAATCAATTCTATCTAGTGTAGGCTCCAATTTTACGAAGATGCCGCCCAAAGTCTAAAGAACGACGAACTTGGTTGAATTCTTGACAACTTTGACATTTTGATGTACACACACGTACTACAAACTGCACTCAGCAGTCTTGATATTCAAGCAGTTGTCGAATTGTTCGCCTGAGTATCTGAATCACATGTTCGTTCGTAATGGTGAATCGTCGCGTTATCCAGATAATCTTCGCATAAATTTCAATCCGCGTACCGCATTTGATACTCGCGCATTTAGTTTCTCTGCAATCAATTTTTGGAATAGTATATCGGTCGAAATTAGAAATTATAAATCTCTAGTCGCGTTTAAAAATAACCTAAAGCATCTGTTACGTTCTACGCAGTAAATTTTTCGACATCTTTCAAATAGTAAATTTCTCGGACCATTGTTATAAAATTTCTTATCCAATTTAGATTAAGATTGACTTTTCATTTGATTTTTCTCATTGATGTTAACGTACTTTAAATTGCAAAAACTCATCATCATCATTGTATTTTCCCCTGGTTCTTCAGAATCAGGCCGGTTTTGCCATGTTTTTCCGGACCCAATTCTAGTATGAAAGCCTCACTTTTATATCATCCCTCCCCTGACTGTATTCTCTTTGCAAAAGACGCACCATGGGCGGAATTTATGCCGTATTGGGTCCCTGACCAGCATGTTCTCAGCTTGCTGGGAACACATATTGGCATAAATGTAGGCTTCGTAATAAATAATAAATAAATAAGTATATAATTTTTTTCCTGGATTTGATTAAGTCAAATTTCGATTATCACACACATTCATTTTTGTAACTTACACTATGCAACAAATTTCAAGAAAAAAGGTCCCTTCGGAAGAGGATTTTGGGGCCGCTGGATCTGGCATTGGTTTTGTTCTGGCACGTCCAGTTTTTGAGATATTGCCATTGCGGTTTCCCAAGCCTCGATTTCATGTATTACTTTACATTAAAGCCGTCAAATGACTGCTGCTAGCGACGTCTCACTGCGACAACGTTAACTACAGTATACATCGTGCACTTCTTCCTCTTCTTCTTCTTCTTAACTTATGCCACTTTTTTCTGTTGTGAGTATGAAGCTTACGTTGTCGCAGTGAGATGTCGCTTCAGCACCATATGGAAAAAGAAATCAAGACTCGCGGTTTCCAAAGAGATTCTATCATACTCTGGAGCTAGAAAATACATCAAGAAATGAAATCTCAGAATGTTTTGTGCAAACCGGAATCGATTTAAGGATACTTCCCATACAAAAGTTGCCATTTTTGGTTCATTTTTTCAGATTTTTTATGCTCACATCTCGAATCTTAAGTATCAAACCAGTTAGAAGCTGGATTTTTTTGCAGCACTGATCTCATGTCACAAATTCAATGAATTGATTCGTTTTTCAACTAGTCATTCTGGATAATTTCCAGAAACTACAAACACAAATTGTGTCGCAATAAACTCTTCTTTTCAAGTTAAATCAATGATTACGAAATTTCCTCTTCAATATGATCGACTTCGATTCGGCGGAGTCTATCAAAGTCATAAAAATCTTTCGGAATCCCCAAAAAGCGAAAGTTTAACTTCTTGCTGTGGCCCAGTCGAAATCTTTGTTCAAACGATGATTAAACAAGTAATTCATGATCATGTTGGATGCGACCGCAATGCTGCGGTTTCAAAGCAGGTTTGTAAAACCAAATATTTGCGGTGTGTCAGAATTTAGCCGCAGGTCAGACTAACTACAAATAACCAGATGAAGTCAGCAAAATAAATACGAATTCGATTTTTGTAAATGCTGAAAGTCGCCGAACAACTTGCAAAACAAGAAATAATTGCGATCGCGTAACTTTGATCGATAAAAAAGTCAACAATTCGACCTTCTGCCAAAACTTTGGCTGTGACATGTGTATGTGAAGCACAAGAACGATCAGAACAAGAATGGAGAGCAAGAATGCAAAATGTAGAACGCAAGCGATAATTGGTTTTGCTTTACGCCTTTCGCTCCGCTCGACGATCAAAGCATACATGGTGCTAATGAACGCTGAGATATTTCGAACGTACTAATTGAGTGTTTGTGTCAGTCTCAGTATATTCACCAACTTAGTGCGCACAAATATCACGTAATTATCTTCTTTTAAACGAACTTTTTTTTTGAAGATTGTTTTTGTGATAGTTTCTTTCTAAAATGCCCGGCGGCAACAGCAATGCGAGAGAGAAAGAGATTACGAATTATTATTAGTAAAGGGGAACAGATTGATTGAACGTATCGAAATTGGTTATGACAATTATACGGTGTGGAAATGAGGTTTAGAAAAAATTAATCAGTATGGAATCAAAGCGTTATGATCAATTTTGAATGGTCGTAAGCATCATTATGATTGGATGTAAAAGCGCAGACTGAGCATGATAACACATCGGTCAATAAGTCCCGAGCCTAACCACCAAGTGGCAACACTAATGTCAAACCCATATCATTTTCGAAAACTACAACCTTTTTTAGGAATCCAGTCAAAATTTGAGCCAAATCCGACCATCAGTTTGCTAGTTACAGCTATACGAGAGAAAGACTCCCGAAAATGCTTCAATTTTGCCGTTAAAACGGTATAACTTTCTTCTGATGCATTGTATTCAAGTATATTCATGTGGAGAGTTCAGAGAATGACCAGACCTAAAAAATACAATGGTTAGTGAAGCAGTTTGAAACCAATTTCGTTCAATTATATCACCATATAAACAGTTCTTTGACCTGGATGAAACTCGCATCAAGATTTGACATTCGGATAGGTCTAAAATGATGCATAAGTGACTTTTCATGTTGTTTTATATCTTTCCCACTGGTTCGCGAATATTTTTCTATACCTAAATCCACTAATAATGCCCGAACTCATATTTTGCGACCTTGGTCGCTACAAACCGTTTTTGGCGATTTCTACCCGCAATTTATAGATCGAATCTATTCAAATGAACTCAAAATACATTAATTCTAATATATAAAGGCAAAACCCTATTCAAATTTTACTTATACAGCTCCAAACGGGCTTCGAATCCCCAAAAAACTGTTCTATCTACTCCATATCCAAAAACGCGGCAAGGCTTTTTCGATTGAGTATTTCATATGCATATATCCATGCAAAGTTGTAACTATAGCTTGAGTTAGTTGCCCTATGGCCTTAGCAAATCTATGAACTATCACATTTGAGAATTCCGATATCACTTAACGGATTTTGGCAATGATTTCTTCCAAAACCACATATTTTGAACAATTTGGAGGCTTATCGACAAAATCGCTCTTATGGCTATGCATAAATTCAATTCTTCCATATCTAATGATTGATTTCGAAAGCCTAAGGATGCCATAAACTAATCATAGTATGGGTTTGGTACTCCTGCTCGTTTTTCTTCTGGAATACATGTGTCAAATCGAGAGGAGAAATGCAGTTTTTCCATGATTTTGGAAAATTGGAAAATTGCTTCATTTAAAGTGCTGTAATTAGCGAACTGATGGTCGGATTTGGCTCAAATTTTGACTGGATTCCTAAAAAAGGTTGTAGTTTTCGAAAATGATATGGGTTTGACATTAGTGTTGCCACTTGGTGGTTAGGCTCGGGACTTATTGACCGATGTGTTAATAATAATTGAATAGATTTCAGGTTTCAGTTGTACATGATATCAAACACGTTTCATGAAATAATACTTACTTCGCAAGTATTCCATGTTGAAATGTAAATTTGTGTCACTCACTTTGAGCATTTGATATAAACGATGTTATTGTCAAAATTGTTAAACATTTGAATGTTGATAAGCGAATGGTCTAAAATGCTGCCAGCAAGCATTTAATGGAGGTTTGTGGTCGTTTGTTTATTTTTGTTCACAATGTTTGCACATTAAAATGAACCTAGAAAACAAGTATTTTGATCATTTTATGAATGAAAACGTTGGATTTATGGACAAATGTTTGCGTTTTTAATTCAAGCACTGGCACAAAGATGCATTGTATTAGATCATGAGATAATATTCGGTTTTTTTTCGAGATGTCAATTACTTTATCCATTTATTTTGTTGATAGAAGGCTCTATTGGTACATCTCAATGCTGTCGTTTGTTAGTTACTTTGAAACGTTTGGATTGCGATATGACGAATTTTTGTTTTATTTGGTTGAATAAAGTGGAAGACACTTTTAGGATAAGTGGGGGAAAAGATCGAAAATTCGCGAGAAATTGCGGAAAATTTGGAAATGCTAGAAAACTGTGGAAAATGCGAAATGGTTTGGAAAAAAGTAAAAAAGGCGAATTGAAAAACAAATTCCAAAGTCAAATGTAATTGAAGGAGCAATGAATTTTTAAAACAGAATACGTTAATATTGAGAAATGCGAAAAATCTCCGGAATCTACGAAGTCTACGAGAAAAACAACCGCAAAACAAAATTCATTCCACTAATAAAGCCGTTAACCTACGGCGGTTTTGTAAGTGTATAAAAAACGAAAGTGAATCAAAATATAAAAGCAATAAAAAGTTCGGAAGAGCGGTCGCTTTGTGCCATACGTACGAGCATCCAAATTGTGAAAGAAGTGTGAAAAGGGAGAGAGAGAAAAGAAAACAAAAATTATAAGTCAATGAGTTTTAACATGTGTTTATTTGTTTGCTTTGTATATAACATGAATGCTGGACCTTCGACAACAAAGACAAACTGGGAGCGAAGTATTATGTTCAACTTTTACTGATGCTTTTCATTAACCGGTGGCTTTCTTCGACCTATAAACAGCAACAAGCATAGAACTAACTGTTTTGAACGTGTTTAGCCCAAGTCGAAAAGTAGCTTATTTACATCTTGTTTACATCTAACTATAATAATGTCAAAGGTCAAATATCACAGAAACCGATATTTTGTGGTTTTTGTTGAAACGTCACCAATTACGCTACCAAACACGCCTCTCGATGCCGACCATGTGGCCGTTGCACAATTTCAACGTGATTTCAAATCGCATTACAAGCTCCGACTGTTTGAGATTGGTTATAAATTTGAAACGTCGCAAAAGTGCTGATAGCATCATCCTCAGCGACATCATTCCATATTGATAGCCTGCATGATGACAAAAAAAGTAACGCTTATGGCACGGAAACACGCAATATTTTATGCAAATTTTGCCAAATTTGTATCCATAAAAAAGAGGCAAAAAGATTGCCGATAAACATGACTCGACACTATTTTTTTTCAAGTGATTGCTTGACTTGAAAGTGAATGCAATAGGTTAGATTTATCGGCAGCATTTTTGCTTCATATTTGAAAATCTGTATGGATGCTTGAACACTTACCTATGCAGTTTCTTGGCCCACCAGCAAAGGGAACGTATGAAAAAGCGTGACGTTTCATAACATTTTCCGGCAGAAAATTGTCCGGGTTGAACTGATCGGGTGATTCACCCCAAATATCTGGACGCTACAAATGAATGTTTTTCATTAAATTAATTTATTTGTTTATGCTTTTCCAGCCAGAAAGTGTCCAAATGTAAGCGGATAGATAGTACAAAATCGCCAAAAATAAATCCATTTCGAATACGAAATCTTGCTTACCCGATGCAATGTGAATATCGACAAGGCGATATAACTGTCTTTGGGTATTGTGCAATTGCTAACTTTTACATCACCAGTTGCGTGTCGTATTATGAATGGGCCAAGCGGAAATAGGCGTAAGCCTTCTTTGATAACACGGTCCATGTAGCTCAATTGTTGGGTGTGTTCATGCGTTGTGTCTTCATCTTGTGAATTATAAACTGAGCGCAGTTCTTCATAGACCTTCTCTTGAATGTCTGGATACATTGCCAGCAGTAAAATAACGTACGATGCACCCGAACTGGATGTTTCCGTACCTCCGATCAACATCGTTTCCACTTCATCAATCGCAATTTTTTCATCGATTTTCCCTTCATAAACTAATCGAAGCAAACGATCAATAAGAATTTGCGGCTTTTCATACGAATCATTCGAATCATTTTCTTCCATCAATTTATACTTATTCTGTGAGATGAACTCCGCTTTTTTGATATGGTAAATCTATGAATGGAACAATTTGATAAAATCGAATCTAAAAATGGAATTTAAGAGTAAAAAATGCAACAACAACAAAAAAACAGAAAAACGTCGGGAAAGAAACAGAAGAAGAGATTGAAGAAAACAGTAGAAAATTAATCTAAGAAGACAAAATGATATTCAAAAATATATATCATTTCGATGAAAGCCACGGCCAATGAACCAAAATTGGCGAAAACAAAAACTCCCAATCAAAATTCAAAAAAGCAGTAATTTCTATTGAGCAAAATGCCTTAAAAAATGACCAAAACTTCAAATAAAAGCATAAAAACTCACATGCGTTGTCAAGTTACGCAAATTTTTCAAATGTTTCACTTGTTCTTTGTACAAATCGGTCCAGCGATAAATGTAATCAGAGTGTGCCCAAAAGTTAATGAAACGTTTGGCGACGATATCGAAAAATCTATAAAAAGAAAGATGAAAAAATTACAAGTTATTTTGATGAATGAACCCATTTAATGACAAGGTAGACAGGTTGCAATATACTCACGCTTCAAGACTTTCCGCGAACTCACGGTTTTTGTTACGTTGCACTTCAAGATTGTAGCCCATCGATGTGGCTGAAACAAGATTGAAGCAAAGAGAAAATAAAACAATTCAAGAAATTGCCGAAAATTGCGAAAATTGCAAGTCGTGCAAAAATTACAATAAATTAAGTGCATCATCCAAACTACGCATGAGATGCCTTGATTTTCTCCCAAAAAATGTACAAAAATCAAGAGTTTAAACATCGTTCACAGATCAGCCGGTGTAATTTTATCGAATAACGAAAACCGGTACACCCAAATAAAGAATTCAGATCGAAAGAAAACCAAAATTCAGTGTTACATGCAACGGCTTAACGGTTTTCGCATAAAATTATGTACAACAAGTTTTGTGAGAAACAAAAATGTATGCAAAAACGGTAAATTATGCATAAAACGTGGCTATTAACCATTTTGTAGACTCAGCGTGTTATCATATTGTTAAATGACGGATATGATTCTGTTTCAATCAATCGATGATATAAGACAGGCGAGGCCTTGAACGAATTTGCGATCAATAAAAGTATGTTAATATAAAGATTCGGTAACAGATTCATCCAATTCGCACTCAAAAAAAGAGATGGGAGAAAGATGAGATAATAAACGACCAACTACAAATGGTCCACCGACTTTCTGCAATCTACGCTAATTTTTGCATAAAAATTTGATTAAAATGTGCAAGTCATTCGTGAAAAAAATCTTTTATTTGTTGACATTTCTACTCAATTTAAATGAAAATTACATCATTTAATCAACAAACTTTCTTTCTCTTCAATCAATATTACGGGATATTTGATACGGAGTGGTAAAATTGGATTCTTATTAACCTTTGCAGGAGAATGCAAAATTTCGAAAAAAATATATTTCGAAATTTCACTCATATCTTTCGTCACCCGTTTCGTCGCACGAAATGTTCTGCTTTGTTAACATTGGACGAGAAAGTAGAGAATTCCCTAAATTTTACGACACGACATTTAAATAAATTTCACATAAACGGAACCAACCAATAAAAGCTAATAACCACCTTACAACGAAGATTATCCGCATTTTTTGATATAATTGAAATTTACGGAAATTCACAATCATTTGGTCGTTTTAAAAAAATTATTATCATTTTCTCAATTTAACTGTCTCCATAGAAAATATACTTGTCGATAAATGATATGCCGATAACCATAAAAACTTTTGAATTAACATAAAAACTCACTTGAAATCATGTCCAACGTGCATCCGCTCATGTAAGGTAGAAGATTGAAATGTGATTTTCCAACTTGTTTGTCCAGATTTTCAACCAAAATCTTAATTTTCTCATTGAAAATCGGCTGAAACGATTGTAGAGTCTTCAGATTGAATGCTGGGTTCATCAACTTTCGAATCGGTTTCCAAATCGCGGACGCTGAAAGATTCATAAATTGTAACATTAATAATAAAATTCTATTTATACACTATGTAGATGAATGAATGTGTGATTTTATTATTTTTTGTAGGTGAGCATTTATAGACCACCAATTAAATTGATGTCCAAATGAGTGACTTTTTGACATTTTCAAGAGTATGACAAAAAAAACTTTTATATAAAAAGTATGTATAACGATAGATAACTGAGCATATTTCATATCAAACCAATTAACGGAATCGAGATCAACCAATGGAAAAAAACAAGAGTCATTGTTCACAGTGTATTATACTTTACTATCTGACGATGATGGCGCCTTTAAACTAACTGCAGGGCTTGAATCCATCATACACAAAAATGGACGTTTTGAAACGTTAGATTCCAAAATCGCATCTGTATACTGTTCAATTTTACTTGTTCAAGCCGTGATTCCAATAACAATGTGATTCTCTTTTAATCAAGTTCCACTTTTTGAAACAGTTCACTACATTCAGCCTCTTTTTCCAGACGGTTCATTTTATGATCTCATTAGTTTATTTTGAACTTCAATGTTTGGAGATATGTATAAGTGTACATTCGCTGTTTATCGAAACAAGTTTTGCTGATAATCGATGAGTTTTTGCTTTGAAGAAATGACATTGTTTGATGAATTAACAAACAAATGAAGGGGTCACCTTAGATGTGGCAAATTGCGACTCGTGAATATCAACACCGAGCGGTTTGTCCGCTGAAAAAACACGCACTTAGAACGCAGATGCAAAACATAAACTCGGAGATTGAAGCATCTGTAAGAGAATCCGTATTTACTAATTATCATCAACTCAATTTGCACGATTCAGCAGCGAACAATGAATGTCGTTTGCTTGAGCAAAGTTTCATAAAGCTTATTTTTTGACTTCGAAAAAATTACTGTCGTGTTTACCACATTTCCGATTCAGTGCGAATAAATTTTTCATGAATGAGTTATTTAATAATAAGGGAACAATAATTCGCTGTTGTTTTTGTGTATACATATTCTTCGGTTAGTCTTTTTTCTTGTTATTTTTTTCTCACGACCAATACAATTTTCTTAGAACCAGATTTTTCTTTTCAATAGTTTATTAACCCTTCTTCTCTCATCTCTTCTTACCATGAAGGGAAAATATGTTTTTTTTACATTTTTTTTTCTCTGTGAGACGTATTATCAAATAGTCCTCTGAAAGTCGATTCGTAACGTTATGTTCTCGCGTTGATTGACGAAAATGAATTCTGATGAACGATATTCAAAACTATTCGCATTTTTCACAAATCAAACTTACAAGTAGCGCTCATGATTGACACTTTGCTGGGATAGAATGAGTAGATATATGGTTTATCAAGGCAGTATTGTGACATAAGCACCGATTTGAAATCCTCTGGCCGATCAATGGTGATAACCAAAAACGGTCCCATATAAGATTTATGTGGCGTTTCATTCTCTTTGATGTATTCAACTATGTCATAGAATAGATCTGTTGACGTTTTTCCGATCAGTCCTAGGGAATTCCCGAAAAGTGGATATACTGGTGATTTAATTTTCAAATGTTTCACATAACTCTCCCAATGACGCATGCGCAAAATATGTTTCACAACTCCCGTGACGACTAGAATTGCTATTAAAGTTAATACAATCATTGTTTTGAATCGAAAAACACCAAATTTTGATACTGATTCCAAATTTTGAATATTTTCTGAGTTCTAAATCTAAATAGAGAATATTTTTTCAATTTTTTCTAAGTTTATTGTATGATCTCCTTATTCAGACTTAGAAGCGGCCCCACTGTATCAAAATTTAAGGATGAACTGAAGCGATTCTGATCGTTGATTGTTTTATAAGCGATAGCAAATGTGCGTTGTTCGACCGCTTTGTCTGCGAATATTTACGACGTGTCTGCGCTTGAGAATCAGGAGTTGAAGCAAAAAACGCTAAGACCGTGACACATTAGAGAGTGAATTTCGGAAACCGGATTTCTGCTGTTCATCACACAAAGAATAAGAGATGAGACGACAAATAGACGCAAAAAATGCAAATGTGTATTTGATACCTGCATTCTTGTGGTGTTGCTGAAAGAATATAGACTGTGGTCAGTTACATTGAAAGTGTGCCACTCTTCACCTCCTCCAGTTGCATTGAAACAACGCAATAATTTGTGATGTGTTGTGATTTGTGTCGCAGGTGCACAGCATTCTGTCAATGTTGTAATCTTATTAAGACTTCACTTTCATTGAATGATCCGCATACTGATGATGGTTGTCTGTCTCTCTCATAAATCACTCCGTTCCTAGAGACCGTTTGCATTCACAAATCTCGGTCTGATGACGGCCACTTAAAAGACCATAATCACTATTCGTGTTACACATAATTTGTATGATGACAATGTATTGTTGGTGCGACCGCACGTCAAGACTTTGAACGTTGCCGCAATTATAGCTGAATTACTGCTAGCAAAGCGAAAGGGGTCATTAGTAACTTCGATCAACGAATTGCCGCAGTGAAATCCATTGTATAACGCATAGAAGAAGAAGAAGAGAAAAAGACGACATAGAGAAATTTCGAAGCAAAACAATATTTTATTACTTCAGTTACACGATGTAAATAATCACAATCGATCTTAGATTACAAACATCCGCGAGCCCGCGATAGGTTTTATTTATATGTTACTATTAACAGTTATACGCTAACAACGATTTTACTATACAATACGGTTTTACCAACTAATTACATTAAAATGCAAATGCAGACGTGGACTATCACCATACTTCGGCACGTCGTTCCATTCCAACCATATGTTTATTACTGATTTTTAATGTTAATTCAAACTTCAATTCCAGATCCGACAACTTTAAATCCGTCGTAAATTTGTAACGCCGCAACATCGACGATAGAGCCACTTTCATCGAGATCATTCCGTACTGGTAACCTGCGCATGGAGAAATGTGATGATAAAATTCGTGAAATGTTCGGAATAATCGAAAAATAGCCCAATGTTTAAGATTTTGAAGTGTTTGTCTGAAATTAAAACGGAATTTTTTACCTATGCAGTTTCTTGGTCCACCGCTAAATGGAAGGAAGCTGAATGCGTGACGTTTGCTCATGTTTTCTGGTAGAAAATGATCGGGATTGAATTCTTCAGCGCCATCTCCCCAAATATCTTGGCGCTGAAATTGATGAAAATGCAAAATTTTACTCAACAATTGATCAATTTTATGAAAAATCAGTAAATTTGAGGTATTTTTGCTTTTGCTCTTCTTCTTCCTCCTTCATTTTCTTAATTTTTCTCTTTTTTCGATATTAGTTTGATTTTTCGAACAATAAATAGAAACTCACCCGGTGCAAATTGTAAATAGACATCAAAATGAATGCATCTTTTGGTATAATACAATCGGAGATTTGTGTGTCAGCTGTTGCTGTGCGCATCATGAATGGAACTACCGGTAAAACTCTCATTCCCTCTTTGATGACACGGTCTAGGTATGGTAATCTTTGAATGTGTTCATAAGTCATTTCTTCTTCTTGACTATCGAACACTGAACGCAACTCTTCAAAAACCTTCTCTTGAATGTTTGGATACATTGCCAACAACAATGTAATATATGACAGCGATAAAGCAGTGGTTTCATTCCCAGCAATGACAATAGTTTCGATTTGATCTCTGATAATCCTATCGTCAAGTTTGCCAGTGAAATATAGCTCCAACAACTGATCAATCAACACTTGGGGCGTTTTGTATGTTTCCTCTGAGTTTTCATCAATTTTATGGTCCGCTAAACGGTTTTCAGTCACAAATTGCATCTTTTTAGCTTCGCAAATCTTAGTTTGGAAAATGGATTAAGTAACATTTCAAATTAAGTTTAAAACTGATGTGAACATTTTAACTTTCGGAATGAAACTTCATCATCACATTTGTGTAGTTTTGCTCATAGGTAAAAATGAATGGAAAAATTTAAGATTTTTCCATGAAATGTCTCAATTTTCTAAAGAAGACATCATTCAAATCATCACCAAAACCAATTTTTTCACATGGATTTTTTTTTCTATGTTCAATTTTATTCTTTGATCTTTTTCCAACTGGTTGTCGATATATGTTTCGATTTTTGAACTGACGTATTAAATTTTTCATTGAAAATACTTCCAGCCGTCGGCCGGAAATGACTAATTTCAACAGATACTCCACACAAAACAATCACTTGTCACTTCGAAGCTACCGTAAATTTTACCTCATTCGTGAGATTGAATAGATTTTCCAGATGTTTTTGTTCCTTTTTGTACAAATCCGTCCACCGATAAACGAAGTCCAAATGGGTCCAAAACTTCATAATGCGTTTAGCAGCAATATCGAAGTATCTGATTAGGTAAACATAAAAAAAATATTTTCAGTGCGAAACGCACACAATTGCAACACAAAGAAAAGAAGAAAAAAAAATGTTTACGCTTCAATGCTGTGCAGAAATGCGCCGTTTCCATCACGCGAATTGATGTTGAAGCCCATTGTTGTGGCTGTAAAAAGATATGTGCAGTTTTTCCAAACATGTGATTATTTGTTACATTGGCATGGGAAAGGAAAACGTTAATTTACCGCAACCATATACTTACAGCAAACCATGTCCAGCGTTAATGCGTTCATGAATGGTAAGATATCAAAATTAGCATTTCCAGCTTGTTTGTCCAACTTGTCGAGCATGTATTGTGCCTTTTCGTTGAAAATTGGCACAAACGATTGTAAAATTTTCAAATTGAATGATGGATTCATGAGTTTTCGGATGGGTTTCCAAAATGTGCCCGCTTAAAAGAAGGAGAAAACAAAACGATTTCATTTCACTAGAGTCCAATTTCAATGTGCACATACTGATCAAGTCGTTGCTTACATCGTGCGTTCAAAATTCCGCATGGTCGTGGATAAAATTGGTACAAATATGGTTTGTCGAGGCAATTTGGTGACATAAGCACCGTTTTAATATCGTCAGGTCGGTCGAGCGAGATTACCAGAGCGGGTCCCATGTAACCTTTTAATGGGGTACCATGGGTTTTTGTCACTTCCGTAATTTCTTTGAATAAACTGGCCGTTGATTTTCCGATCAATGACCATGCATTGCCTACGAAGGGAAACGCACGGTTTCCCATCTTCACATGTTTCACATAACTTTCGAAATGTCGCATCTGAAGGAAATACTTCACCAGCCCCGTCACCACCAAAAACACCAACAATGCAATTGCGATCATTTTTTTTTTAAAGTTTCGTTATCGAAATTCAATCACGCCACAATGAACACACGCACACACACGATTAGCTTCGAAACCAGACGAAAACAATTTCTTTTTCGTTGACACGCGCACTCGTTTCAGTTTCAGTATCTGTATTCAGCGAGGTTATAAGTCGAACTAAACCTATTCCACTCCACAGCCACATGTATTTATATGCGCAGCGAACGACAGTGCGTTTGTCTCAATGAATTTGCCAGCGAGAAAAAGTAGTAGCGAGAAAAAAAACATAATGTGAAAAACTGAATCGAAGCAATCATAAAATGTTGTTGACTCATAAACAACATGGTCGCATACACAAGAGCTACAGAGAAGCATCGCCTGGCGAGAAGCAGAAGGAGAAGAGGTAGCAACAAAAAGAGCACGGCAGCCGCACAATCTAATACGTAACTAATGACAGTTCATTATCCGGTGATATGCACGGAAACACCATTATATTATTTCGGCATGCTTGAATTACCCGGTAAAATTTATTGAATTTAAATCACTCAGCTTTTTGTTTCACTGCCACTTTTTATGCGTTCTTTTACTTTGCTTCGATATTGCCTGGATGGCAATTCATAGAGATAATTGAAAAAACAAATTGAATGATATTTAGATTGTCCAAATGGTAAGCGAAAAAAAGTGTTTGTGCCAAAATGAAGAAAAAAATCAGAGTTTCTTTTGGAGAGAAGGCTGGCTTGAAAGCGTTCATGTGGAAAGGAAATCGACGAAAAACCTAAGTAATATATTTTTCATCCAAAGAATTGACTTTATGAAGAAAAAATAAGTTTTTTTTTCGAAAAAACCAATTTTCCGAACCAAAAACCAGCTTAGAAAAAATATTTACCTTCGAATAAATCTGAACCTAAGCTGAAATTCATCAAAAATGCCGTCAAATATGCAAGAAAATTGAAAAAGGTAGAAAACGTTTAACTTGGTTGCTTAAAACACTTGAAAAAAAAGGTCGCGTTGCTCAAAAACAAGCTCATTGGCCTCAAATGCCTCTAAGCGAGTTCAAAAGTAGACGTAAATTCATTCTCGTCGACTGCATCGTTTAAATTTATTGAGAATGGTTACGTTTGGTCAAGAATGTAGTTTATATTAGGCGGCATTAGTATGAAAACGAAGGTTGTTCGGCTGTTCGGTTCCAAATGTGTCTAATAACATGCCAATTACAAAAGTAGTGTGTTGATGCCTAACAAAGATTGCATGAATCTACCCGACCACTGGTAATGCAATCGATGGTCTATTATAGACCAAACCATAAATGCATCGTTCAACAAAATCATAGCGCAGTGCATTAAGGCCCCTGAAATGAGTTGACCTCAAAAGCATATTTCTTCAACAGCCGCACATGATTCCAACATGCACACACGCACGTCAAGCTTTGATGCTCTCTAATCAAGCATAACTTGAATCTTGTGCGCGTGCACGTCACCTGCAGCTCTTTCACATGGAAGTGAGATCGTTGCGTGTGTGGCACGTAGTTGGTAGAAAAATTCACTTTTAATTTGGTTCGCACAGCGCCGTTTAAGCGGTGATAATTTGTGTTTACACATGCCAAACACAATCTGCGATGATTCGGTTACATACAACCGACAAACTCGTCGGTACAATTCATTGTGTGCGTGTTAGGAAGCTATGCTAGCTATTGTGAGACGTACAAATGAGATTTGGCAATTCATTATCGATTGATCCGAAGTTTAGCAGCTATCAAATGTTATGAATAAATACATATTGCATGTTTATTGCCAGAATTAACAATTTGCTAATGTAAGTTTTCTTTAAATGAGCATGGCTATTACTCACTTTCGCCCTTTTTTCCAGTGGTTTCATTAATTAAATCTAAAACATAAAATTATGCGAACGGAACAACGAAGAATGAAAGCAAAAGTGTAAAACAGAAAGACTTCACGCTCAGCAATTGACAAATCTACGAAATGATTTCCCGTTAGATAAAAAGATCGTAACTTGAGTACGATGCAATAACAAAAAACACGTATTGCGAATACAAATCGTAAAGTTTTTTTCTGCATTCATTCATCAACTGAACGCTATCTGATCACAAAAGTGCATTAACACAATGGCTAGAGCCATTCGGTTTGCCATGCTTGGATTCCCTCTTGAATGAAACAAATTGCCAGCCACCGCAAAAGTGGTGACATTTTTTGAAAAAAGTTACAAAAAAAGATACACAGATTTTCAGAAGTATTCAGATCGAAAAAGTTCGAATTTTTTTCTTCATATTTTAATGATTGAGAGAGAGTGTTCCCGATTCTACCTAGTTTCAAGAAGGGGAATTACCGGTTTTAAAAACACTTGATTTATGTCATCAGTGATAATTGAATCATTTATCATTGCTTAATGGCTTCAGATGGAGCAGCCAAGTTGAAATTTCCTACGACCGCAATCTCGATGGATCATAGTGATTTTACCAACTGTGGTGTATATATACAGGCGTTTCACGGTTTCAAACAGATTGTGAATGGATTGCAGCTTGGTTTCTTCAAATGATTTATTTGTAAATTCTTTCGAACCAATTAAGCAATCCGCTGCCATTAAAAACACAATAATCATTGATTTTAGGAAGAAACGTCATTTTATTCATTCAAAATTACGAAACAAACTATAAATAACAAATTCAAAATACAATTTTTCACAGACTCGTTTAAAGCATTGACTATTGACTAGTCCCAAACCTCATAGAAATTGCTTACTCGATTCAAAATGAAACAATGCTTTTACACAAATACGTATGTAGATTAATGAAATTCAGGATCAATTGTAAATTATACGCTTACCAATCGCGTCTCTCAACGGAAACCATGTGTTTGTTGATCAATTTCAACGTTACATCAAACTTTAATTCCAAATCGGACATTTTTAAACGTGTTGAAAATTTGAAATTCCGTATGCAAGCCGAAAGCATGACTTTCATTTGGAGCATTGCTTGTTGATAGCCTGTGAAGGATTGCAAAATAGGAAAACAATTGAATTAGTTAATTCAAAGGATTATGCATATTTAAATATTTGTTAGAATAAAAGTGACCTCCGACAATTTTTTGGTACATACTTTGTGATTTCATGGGGCGGAAATAGCATCAAGTTTTAAACTTGGTAGCACACCAAGAGTTGAGTTTTGATTTGAAATTGTAAATTACATTAATTAGCCTTTTAAGATTTTGGGAGCATTGCAATTACATTGACATCTAAACAGCTGCTGTTTGCATGCATCGCAAGTTGAAGACCTGGTTCGAAGGTGTCTTCCAAAAAAGTGAAGTCAAAAGCTCAAACTTTTCTATAAACACTTATCAAAAATATACATCCATCAAAAGACTCTAACCCAAAAAGCACAAAATCAAAAACACAAAGACCAAAAAATCGTCGGAGATCACTTTTAATCCTAAACGATTCATGTAGATGTTTAAGTTTATTGAATGAATTTCGTTCAGCAAGAGGTTGTACGGAACTAGAACTAAAATTCCAACAAAATTGAATGAAAGGAGAAAATGTGATCAAAAATGAACTTACCAATGCATTGTCTTGGTCCAGCACTAAATGGAAGAAACGAATACGGATGTCTTTGGCTGACATTTTTCGGTGAAAAGTGATCAGGATTGAATTCATCAACGTCATCGCCCCAGATATCTTTTCTCTATTTCGGAAAAAATTATTCATTTTTTCGATTTTCAATTGAAATGTTCTTAAAATTGTTTTTCATTGCTCAATCAATACTAAATTAAATCGATGGTAATTAACTTACCCGATGCAGTGTTAAAATCGACAGTGCAATGGTTGTGCCTTTCGGAATGGTGCAATTGCTGACCGGAATGTCAATAGCTGGCGTGCGGCCAATCACCGGAGCCACCGGAAATAATCGCATTGTTTCTTTCAAACAACAGTCCAAATAGGGTAATCTCGTTAAATGATCAAACAATGTTGCCCCATCTTGTGTGTCATAAACAGACTTTAGTTCTTCAAATAGTTTCTCCTGATACTCTGGACGCATCGCGAGCATGAGAATGGCAAAGGAGATGGTTATTGCTGTGCTATCGCTGCCGGCCAATAACATTGTTTCGATTTGCTCTTTAATAACCTTTTCGCTACATCTACCAGCAAAATATGACTCGAGCAAGTGTTCAATCAATGTCAAATACGGTTTATCTGACGCATTGATATATCGCGGGAATTTATTCATTATTGTCAAATATTCTGTCTTTTTTTTATCGAAAACCTGTTTGCAAATAAAATTGCATTTATAAAAACAAACAAAAACGTAACATTGTCTGAACTTACTCGATTCGTGAAATTGCGAATAATATCAAAGTTTTGTTTCTCTTTGTTGCACATGGACGTCCAACGGTATATGAAATCCGGTTGAGTCCAGACAGCGGTGAAACGATTTATTATTGTTTCGAAGACACTTTGGGAAAGATTAAAAACAGGAATCGGTATTGTTGTTCTGTGTTCTTCTTTGTGAGATTATTTCGTTTCTTTTGTTTTTGTTTCTATATTTTTTGAGTTTCGTTGTTTACATTTTTGTTATGAAATAATTGAAATTTATCATGTTTGTTGTTCCAAACAAAGTGTATTAAAAAGCCTTCACCTGATGCTCTTCGCTTCCAAAGAACTAGTCTTTGTTTTCATGTATGAAACTTACATTTCCATACTATGCAGAAATTGTCTGATGTCATCATGATTCATGCTGTCTACACCCATTGTGGTGGCTGTTTCAATGAGATTCTAAATTTGTATCACCTTTGACAGAGCACGCCATTTGAAAGCGAATGTTATTGGTGTTAACTTACCGCAAACCATTTTCAAGGTGACGAAATTCGTCAGTGGAACAATATCGAAATCTGCATCGCCAACTTTTGCGTCCAAGTTTTGGATCAATATTTTTGTTTCGTCGTTGAAAATAGGCATAGATGATTGTAAAACTTTCAAATGAAATGCCGGATTCATCAGCTTGCGCATTGGTTTCCAAATGGAGGCGTCTTTATGATAAGAAAAAGATGTGTCTTTTCAGAAAATTCGCATGCACTCAATTGAAGTATTTATTATGGTCAAGTGGTCAAGTGAAGTTTTATTTATTTTAGAATTTTTGAAATATTACGAAAAAACGAATCAATATTTCAATTTTCCTCTTTTTGTCCTATATCTCTTCTCTATTTTACTATTGAAAGCTAAAAAAGAAAATTTCTTAGTCAGAAATTCTAACTTTGAAAAGCAGTTTTGATTGTTTTTAACGTTCTAAAAGTAGAAAAAATACAAAAGACTCTGACAAAAGTAGAATTTTCCTATTTTCCATAGAAAATTGCACATTCTTGACTCTGTCATGTCATTACTTACATCTTGCACTGAGAATCCCGTTTGTATTTGGCATATATGCGTACACATAGGGTTTGTCCAAGCAATGTGGTGATGTTAAAATGGTTTTCATATCTTCCGGTTTATCTAATGTCATAAATAAAAGTGGCCCAACATATGCCTTGAATGGTGTTCCAGCTTCTCTCGCAAATTGCATTACTTCTTTGAACAGTTCAACATCAGATTTACCCACCAGCGCATGAGCATTCCCAATAAATGGATAAACTGTGCCTTTTGTTTTCAAGTGTTTCACATATCGTTCCATTCGGCTCATGTGCATGAAATATTTCACCAAAATGGTCGTCACGAAAAAAACACACAATAGTAGGAAAATCATCTTTCAAATTGATATTTCGATACAAATTCAATGAACAAAATTTAAACAATAAACAGAACGCGACCAGTTTTGTTTTTTAAAACATCAAGATCAAGGCTAAAAAAATACCAACCGAAAATTAAATTTTTTGAAACGATCCCGTTGCTAACAAAGTAGTAACTAAAGCACATTTGTAGCTAAATGGCATTTTAAATGGAGAATGAACAGCACAAAGTCAACTCGAGTCAAACCAGTTTTTGTCAATAACAATAGAGTTGAGCGACTGTTAAAAGTATAAGTAGAATAAGAGGCGAGTCTCCTAAATCGTTGTCATTTGCATTAAAATCTGCACATTTCACAATGATAAATCGAACCAAATCCTTGTGAACTGGAAAATAAAATGAAAACAATGAAAAAATTGAATCATCACTCAAACCGTAAATATTTAAAATTACCATTCGTAGCAGCTTCATGAAGAGGTGTTCTTCCAAGCTTGGTTTTCGAATTAACGTCGGTACCAGTGATTGAAATAACCGGTAGTTCTACCCGAAGGGCTTGCGACGAACGAATATATATGAAATATCTTCAAATATATTCAAATATGCCAAATATTTCAAATATTGATGCATTATTTGTTTACAAAATGCATCTTGATATTTCGTATGTTTGACATATTTGGCTATATTTCAAATATTTCATATATTTGAAAATTGAGAGAAATATTTCATATAGATATAGTCAAAATAATATCGGGTAATACCAAAAAATGTCAAAATGTGGCTTAAATATATCAAATATTCCAAATATTTGAAATATGACGGAATATGAGTGAAATATAGAAATATATGAAAATATTGCCGTATTTCAGTTGTCGCAAGCCCTTCGGTTCTACTGGAATCCGGTAGTTCTGAATGTGAAAATGCAACTTCAAATCTGAATTATGGTAGTTGTGATTTCCATAATTTTACTCTCTATTTTCGGGTCACTACTTAGTTACTTATATCATTTGAAGGCCAATAAAGTCGTTTGGCGTGAAGGGCTCAAAAATACCAAAAAATACCAATATTCTGTGGAATTCTTGGACTTTTCAAACTACAGTAGAACCTCGATTATCCGGCGGGCACGGGACCGAGCCTCCGCCGGATAACGAAAACGCCGGTTAATCGAGTTGAAACAAATTCTTACATTTCTCATATATATAACGGACAAAAGTCAATTGAAAAGACTTGTAACATACAATTGAAGTAAAAATACATTAGAAATCTCTTTTTTATTAAAAAATATAAGGAAATGCAAATGTTTATTGGTTTATTTGAAAACAAATGTGAATATGTAGTTTGAAATTTAATTTCATTTATCTTAATCTACTTTCATTTGCGAAAAGAAGTCGGTCATTTTGGTTTGCTTAACTGCAATCGTTTCTGCTTTCATTGTTGCGAAGCTTGTGAATCGTCTTAACAGCAGTGTGTCAACTTTATCGGCTTCATCCTGTTGTTCATACCATTCAATGAATTTTTGCAAAGAACAACTTGCTTGCATTGCTTTTGTTTCAATTGCAAGAACGGTTCTTTTGCGTTTTTGTGTGCCAATTGAAAACAAGATATGCAGACATTTGTCGCAAGCGAAGGAATCAAATTGACGACCAAACATTTTATTTCAAACTATTGTTTATAAAATGAGTGATGTAAACAAACTCAATCTGAAAATGATATGCGATTAAATAATAACAACAAGCAAAATTGGACGTGCATGTAGAAGCATGAATTTGTTAGTTGCGCTGAGTATTTAAGTTTCGTCTGTATAAAATGTGTTTCTTGAAAAAAATCAATAGCTTGAGAGTGCGCCGGTTAATTGAGGTGCCGGTTAATTGAGTGCCGGATAATCGAGGTTCTACTGTATTCTATTGCGCCTTTTTTGTCTATTTTTGGGCACTACATGAAATGTAGAGTTGGTGGTTCATGAACCAATGGTTCTGTCGACTATTGTTGAATTT